TCAAAGTATTCACATTAAGCACGTTACTTTTTTTTTTTTTTAAGATTTTTATTTATTTATTTGACAGAGATATCACAAGTAGGTAGAGAGGCAGGCAGAGAGAGAGGGGGAAGCAGGCTTCCCGCTGAGCAGAGAGCCTGATGCGGGGCTCGATTCCAGGACCCTGAGACCATGACCTGAGCCGAAAGCAGAGGCTTAACCCACTGAGCCACCCAGGCGCCCCAAGCACATGTTACTTTTATAAATAGCAAAAACACAAAAAATGATTATACTTGAGGGGAAAATGCATCGTTAGAAAGTGGTAAGCAACAGAAGAGAAATCTTAGAAAGATTAGGGCCCAGAGAGGGATAAGAACTGCCTTAGGCTGTAGAGAAGAACTTGTCAAACTTATGGGAGGCGAGGCACATGAACTTGACCTTGAAGAACCAGTAGGTATGATCAGCACATGGTAGTTCACACTGGAGTATCTTTCTGCATATGAAGAATATGCAAATTGTAGCTCTGAAACTGACTTCCTTCTCCTAGCCAGCTCACCACAGGCCACTTTACCCAGAAGTTGTGTTTTCAACTTTGTCTTGTAATATCTGCGCCATCCTATTTTGTCATTACAGAGAAATTAAAAGTCGAGTGGGTTTATAAGGAGGGGATTGTATTAGGACTCTTACAATAATCTTCCTATTCTTTGGCTCTGGGCCTCCCTTCTAAAGAAATTGGAAATGTAAGCCACAATTTGTTCAATGTAGCATTAATTATTATAATAAAAAACTAGAATTAAGTCTAATAACAAAAATACACGAGTGAGTAGAGTATGCGAGTGGATATTTCACAGCCTTAAATGTGTCTACAAGGACTTTTTAATGACTTGTTGGAAGCTTATGATAAGTATAAAAAAAGAAAAAAACTCAGCCACAAAACCAAAATGGGGGGTGGGGGGAGTCTGCTTGGAGCCTCCATATGCCAGAACTTCCTGTAAGAGGTTGAAGACATAGATCTTCATATCAGCACTAACAGTCCAACTTCCTTGATTATTGTATGATCAGGAGTTTGGGACAGAGGAGATCTTTAGTCATCTTTTGGGTTGTCTCTGATTAAGATGGTGTTCTGTCAAAGATTTCCTGAAACAAATACTGGGCACTAGGGCCACCACCTTTAGCTCCAGACAGACAGATAAACAACAGGGAAAGATGGAGTCTGTGCCCGGGGGCTGCTGGGAGTAACCAAGTCTGGGTGTCACTGCACACACTGGGGAGAATGCCAGACCCGTTCCTGATCAGAGTTCCAGAATTTAATGGAAACTAAAGCAACCTGGAGGCATTGAGCTCTCCCACCCACTAGGTGGTAGTGGGGCTCATCAGAACGCTTCATTCCCGTCTGGAAATTCGGGACTCAGACACATTGGTAGAAAGAAGTGCTTTCCTTCAGGGAAAACCACGTCCATACTCAGGGAGCAGCAACCCAAGGGTATGGTCCCAGGCAGACCACAGAGTAAACATTTATGGAATAACAAGGGAGACTTGCATCATAGTAAGTGCCAACCTCATAAGACCCTGTCTCCAGGGGCTTGAAATTTTGTACTTTGCACAGCAGAAGTGTGCAGATGTTTGCATTTTTGATACCTGTCAGTGGTTATGGTCGTTGCCTAGCCTTGGGTCTTAAAGCCCTGGAAAGGTGAATAAAGGACCATGACAGCCTTTTGTTCCATATTTTTACTGCTGGGCTTCCTGCTGGTTGACCTGCCCACCTGCCCTTGCTGGACTAAGGCTGCAAAGGTGATGAAGGTTGTGTGGGAGGGCTGGGGGTGGGGGCATGCAGAGGGCGGTGAAGGCAGGGAGGGCCTTGGGCTGCTTTGAGGAGGCCTTCCCGAGACTTCCTACCCGTTTCCTGCTCTTCACACCCTTCTCATGCCCTTCTTTCCATGACAGTCTGTGCACAGTTCAAGGGCAGCTGCCCTCTGCAGCTGTGGCCCAGTTTACCCGTGACCTTCATTGAGCCACATCCACCAGGCTGCATCTTTTCCATTCTTTCTTTGAAACAGCCCTATCTTGAGAGTGTTGTGACTTTATAAAGATAGGGTTTCTGACGATCACAAGACCACTCATCTCCCAACTGCGTAATCTCCCAATCTGTGGTTTAGATTTGTTTTGAAACAGTATTCGGCCCGGGTTGGGGGGCGATTCCTGGGTGGCTCAGTCGGTTAAGCAGTGGACTCTTGATCTCAGCTCAGGTCTTGATCTCAGAGTTGTGCGTTCAAGCCCTGCATTGGGCTCCACACTGGGCGTGGAGCCTACTTAAGAAAAACAAAAGAAAGAAACAATATTTGGGCCCAAGCTTGACTAGGTAAGACGACAAAATGATCTCAGATGTGGAGATTGGTTCAGGAATATGCCTTGTCTATTTTTAAACTGAAAATGTGAGGTGAGGGGGAAAGTGTGACCAAGAAGTGTTCTGTGTTTTTTAATTTGCTTTGGGAATAGTATAATAAATGTGTCATTTTCTAAATCTGGATTATTCATGGCCTATTTTAAATCCCGGTCTGGCTCCTGACAGTCCAGTTCTCAGCAAGACCCTGGGTTGACTCCCCTCCTGTCTGGTCCTGGTACGGGCAGAAAATACAACCTTATTTAATAGCAGCTTCCATTGATTTTTAAAGTAAGTCAGCTGTGAGAATTCTCATTTTCTCAAATTATTTGTACTTAGATCCTGTGTATTAGCCGGGTTGTGTCTGAGTCCATTAAATGGGAGCGGTAAATGGGTTTTAAGCACCTTATTCCTGGCCTGCTGTTTTTACTAGGGAAACCAGGAGAAACCCTTCAACCGTCCTAGATTTTAAAATGCCTTTTAAAAAAGTGCCTGTCCCGAGTGGGTCATGCCTCACCTCCAGATCCTGGTGACCTCCACATTCCTGTGGAGACGGGAAGCCTGGAAGCGTGAACAGCCACATGGCTGAAGACCCCGTGACCCCAGGTCCTGCGGCCTTTCATCTGGGGCCATCAGGCTCTCCAGGTGCGCCAGCCCCGAAGTGGGAGGCTCCAGGTGCTCCTAATCGGGTCTGGTCTGAATGCGTAGCTCCCTGAGGTGCTGGGTGATGGTGGAATGAAAGCCAAATAAAGGAACAAGAGGTCCTGTTGATTGCCTCATCTTCAGTGCTATTCCTCAGGGCCCTTCTAGATCTAGGGAGGATTTGGGAAGACTGCGGTATCACCTGAGGAGAAGACACAGCCTCTACTTCCTGTTAACTCTGGGCCCACAGACTGTTGGCCTCCGGCAAGGGAGTCTATGCCCCTAAGGGCCTTTTGGAGCAAGGCCACGCCACCTGGCCTCAAGCTTCCTCCCTGGGCCGTCGTGTCCTCTCCCTCTGGAGGCGGGTAATAGGGCTACCATGGCCCTTTCTTCATTGCTCCGGACAGCCCCCTGCCTCTCCATTGAGGGGCCAGGATTGGGAACTGGAAGGGACCCGAGTGGTAATAACATAGGCTTCCTCCTCCTCTCAGCTGGGGACACTGAGACTGGAACTCGGATTCAGTGACTTGCCCACCCTTGGTAGCTTGTCCCTCCCGACTGCAGCTTCCTGGTGAGGCAGTGGGGTGGGATGGACAAGCGGTAGAAGGGGCTTGAAATTGAGTCTCAGTTCAACAAGAAAAGAGTCCCAGGGGAAGAAGGAGAGCTTCGGCAGCACAGCACTGGGTTCCCCAGGCTCATTAAGTTGCTGGGGACTTTGTAGCATCCCCCAGGATTTCTCAGTCCTGCTTCTTTGGTACACGGCGCTGGGAATGGTCTGGTAAAAGCTGTGGGATAAGACTGCCCTCTAGTGGGCTGGTGAAGCCATTGGTCCAGCCACTTTCCGGTCTCTCTAGGCTCAGTGCTGCCTTCTTTTGCTGAAGCCCCATAGTGATTATTCCCTCAGTAGGAATGCCTTCAATTCAAATTTTATTCTTTGTCAAACATTCTGGCTCACAGAGTTGATATCTGAACACCAGCCATTATTTGCCCATCTTATAGGAGGTTTGGGGTTTTATTTTTGTCATTGGTGTTTTCCCCCCACCGTAGAGGTATCTTACTTCTCTAATAAGATTCAGGTCCCTAAAAGCAAGGGTGATGTTTTATGTCTTGTTCTTCCCCAGCTGCCATCCCGTTGTCTGCTTAGCTGGACGTGAAATTAGAAGTTCCGCTGGGATAGAAAAGACTCCTCCCGCAAAAAAGAATTCCACCCCTTCACATTTGTTCCTAAAACATTCTCATCTCAGCTCTCTGATCCATAGTTCCCCAAGAGGTTGAATCATCTGAATCCCTCAGAAAACTTCCAGAACTCAGTTTCCTGGGCCTTCCTCCAGCCCCGCTGAATCAGTCTCTGTGGTTTGAGCCAGGAAATCTGCTTTACAAACTTCCCAAGTGGTTTTGGAAGTGGAGCCAGGTTTGGCAGCCAACTGCTCTAAATCCCCATTTACGATTTTTTTTTCATGGCTTTTTCCCTCTGACAGCATCTCTAAAGGTCTTCAGCTTATGTCAGTTATTAAAATTGACCATTCTGAAACTCCTTCAGAAATACTCGGTGTGCTGTTCTAACGACAGTCCTGGCTGACATGGGAAGGAAGAAGGACCACAAGAGAAGGACCAAAGGCGTTTACTTTGGTTGCCAGTGGCTCTGTGTTCATAGCAGAAAATACCGAAACCAATACCTTCATGCTGACTGGGCAGGTCATTGATGTGTTTTTCATGTTTGGCCGGACAGGGAGACAAAGATTAACCGAGTACCCAGTTACAAACGTTCACCGGTTCTAACTCCTCTGGTTCTCAGATCAGCTGTACAATGTAGGTGGCATTGTCCCATTCTTTACAGATGGAAAAGTTGAGGCTTTGGGAAGTTATTAGTAAGTTGCCCCAAGTCATGGAAGTTGCTGACTGTCAGATTCTGCATTCAAATACAGGTCTGATTGCCAAGACCAGCTTTGGAAAGGTAAGAGGACCAAGAGTGCCAACCTATTCTTTTTAACTCTGCCAGGCCAAGCGGGCAGTGCAGCGAGGAGCCACTGCGGTCATCTTTGACGTGTCAGAAAACCCAGAAGCTATCGATCAGGTAAACTCCATGGGCCACGGGGCATGGCTATCTCCCTGAGAGGGGCGCTTTTAGTTAGCTGGGCTTGTCGCGGGGGCATCCCCCTCACTTCAGGGCTCCGCACTTGTCTGCTGACACCAGAAACCCGTGTTTAGACGTCATTCCTACTTGGAGGAGAGGGTATTGAGTAGGCGTGAAGAGCCAGGAAGTTGGTGGTTGGGGGCATTTTCAAAGACCCTTCCACCCTGCCCAGTCCGTCCTAAAAGCATCATTCTGCGCCTTGTCCTTCAGAAGCTCCAAGGCTGTAACGCTTGAGGTCTTTGAGGATTTTCAAATGGTTTTTACTGTTCTTTTCCTTCAACCTCTCTCCCTCTCTTGCTTCTTAAAGCAAGAGCGTCTATTAACCAGACCTGTCTCTTCTTCCTCAGCTAAACCAGGGCTCAGAAGACCCACTCAAGAGGCCAGTGGTGTACGTGAAGGGTGCAGATGCCATCAAGTTGATGAACATTGTCAACAAGCAGAAAGTAGCTCGAGCAAGGATTCAGCACCGCCCCCCTCGAGTGAGCCTCCGTCGGCCGCGGCCAGCCTCGCCCTGTGCCCTCTCTGCTGCTCCCCGAGCCTTTATTCCCTTTGGGCTTCAGGCTTTTGTTCCAGTCTTCCTTCCATGTAAAATGCTAATGCAGCCTAGGTTCCTACAGTTTAGATCAGACTTCAGGTTGGAGGCCAAGGAGAAATATTACTCCTGTTTCTTTATTAGTATTATTTTTTAAGATTTTATTTATTTGAGAGAGAGTGTGAGCGAGCATGCACACGAATGGGAGGTGGGGGTCAGAGAGAGAGAGAGAGTCTCAAGCAGACTCCGCACGGAGCGCTTAGCTCCATGCGGAGCTCGGTGTCACCACCTGAGATCATGACCTGAGCCAAAATCAAGAGTCAGACGTTTAACCAACTGAGCCTGCCACGAACTCCCCCAACAACCCATGTTCCTTTAGAGAGGATTCGAGAAGACCTTCCAGAAATAGATTTTGTGTTAAGGGGTCTCTGGTATCTTCCGCCCGGCACTCCCTCTTGGTAGCTCCTGCCCTTCTTTCTCTTCCATCCCACCTCCTTCTGAAAGGCTGGGGAGGAGTGAAGGAAGGAGTATCTGGCTTCCTGTGTCCCCCTCTTTCCATTTGGCCCAGACTAGAGAAAAAGGCTGGTACTGTGGTTCTTTCTTCCCAGAGGGTAAATTGCATTATTAAAAAGCCCTAACTTGTATTTGAGTCTGGAGCACTTAGCTTTCAACTGGGATTGAAGTTTATGCCTTGTAGGCAGTTGTTGAATAGCACGGTGGCTTCTCTGGAGCGTGTCGAAGGGACACTGCTGCCCAGTGACTCTTTTTTTTTTTTTTAAAGATTTTATTTATTTATTTGACAGAGAGCACAAGTAGGCAGAGAGGCAGACAGAGAGAGAGAAAGAGAGAGAGAGAGGAAGGGAAGGAAGCAGGCTCCCCGCTGAGCAGAGAGCCCGATGCGGGGCTCGATCCCAGAACCCTGAGATCATGACCTGAGCCGAAGGCAGAGGCTTTAACCCACTGAGCCACCCAGGCGCCCCTGCCCAGTGACTCTTAAAAGGCATCTTCAGCCCAAACCTCAGGCTGAAGGTTCTTGGAACCTAGGACAGGATATAGAAAGATAGAGAGATATGTACATACACACACATACATATATATGGTTTATTTCCTTATCACAAATATTCACGTATAGGATGACTCTTCGTACACACAAAACATCTAGATGCCCATAGCATTCAGTTAGCAAAACTCTAATCCTCTTGGCTAACTGCATGTCCTAGACAAGGTGGCTTCAAGGTTTCTGGAAGCAGTGTGCCCTGAGGAAAAGGTAAGGACTCAAAGTGGAAGGGATTTGCAGAAGAACCGCCTTTGGTGGCTTCTTTTTAAAGGAAAAATGAGCGCTTTGCTGAATGTGACTCACCGTAGTGGAAGCTGATATTGTGGAAGCAGCATACAATTTTCTGAGTTGTTGTAAACCGTTAATTATATGGTTAGTAATCACTGTTCCCTCAAAACATGACACTCACTCCTTTGTCCCATAAATATGATATTTGTGTTTATTTGGATGGGCCTCTCCTACCGGTTACTGCGAACTTTGCGCTCTTCCATGGGGAGCTGGGCATTCCAGCGGGCATGCTCTTGGCCGGGACTGCGGCAGGCTGCCCCCACCACACCGAGGGGGGCTGTCTGGGCCCGGGGAGCACAGCACGTGTGCAGGTTAGCAGAACCCCAGGTGTTGCTTGCAAATGAGGGGAGAGACACACCTGAGTCACCCCAGCCTTATTCCAGCCGGGGCTGACACGACCGTGCGCCGATCCCCAGGCTGAAGAGACCTGTGACTCATCGGGTGTGTATTCTGTTCCAGCAACCCACAGAGTACTTCGACATGGGGATTTTCCTGGCGTTCTTCGTCGTGGTCTCCTTGGTCTGCCTCATCCTTCTCGTCAAAATCAAGCTGAAACAGCGGCGCAGTCAGGTAAGAGCCCCAAGCAGCCTGTGAACGCAGGTGCCCGCCGCCCTGACCCAGGTGGGAACGGGGGGGCAGGGACCTGAGGGAGAGGCAGAGATGGAGCAAAATGAGAGCAAAGCTTATCACCCTGTGTCTTTTCTATTCCAGAAGGGCCAGAACCACAAAGGCCAAGCACTGGGAGGGCTTCCAGCTGGGAGGTTTTCTCATGAAATGCCTAAGTGTTCACGCAGAGCCCTAGAGCCTTGCTCCTCAGATAGAATCTGGGCACCAGCAGCATCCCCGGGGAGCTTGGCAGAAATGCAGACTCTCAGGCCGTACCCCAGACCTGCTGAGTCGGAAGCTGCATCTTCCAAGCCCTCCAGACGATTCCCAGTGAACAGAGTAGCCACTTTCCTGCTCCACCTGACACATCACCGTGCTCGTAGAAAGGCAGGATTTGGGGGCAGAGGTTGATGGAGAGGGTAAGCGGGAATCTAGACCATCCCGTGTGTAGTGTAACCTCTCAAGAGAGACAGTGCATGCTGGCAGGCAGTCTGCGCGAGATTCACCGACTACTCACCAAGCGAGAGTGGTCATCAGCCCAACAGAACAGTGGGTGTGTTTGCCCAGCAATTGCCTCATTTGCCCTCAGAACTTTCTTCAGTGTAAAGAGGGGGAACCCGAGGCATCGAGCCGGTGAATGACTCAGGGTCTTGCAGAGTTGACCAACTAACTGAAGTTGACCTCTGCTGGGACTGCCACTTGGGAGAAGCCTGGGTTCAAGTCGCTGACCCTCAGGAGTCTGGAAATCCCATGTCACAGCAGTCTGAATTTTTAGCGCCCTCTCAGAAGCCTGTAGCGTTGTGCCCGTCCCCGGGCACTGGTTGCCATGGCTCCAGGGGTGACTACCACTGTTAGTACATCCCGGACCCTAACACGGACCACGTTCCGCCACACAGAATTCCATGAACAGGCTGGCTGTGCAGGCTCTGGAGAAGATGGAAACCAGGAAGTTCAACTCCAAGAGCAAGGGGCGCCGGGAGGGGAGCTGTGGGGCGCTGGACACGCTCAGCAGCAGCTCAACATCCGACTGCGCCATCTGCCTGGAGAAGTATATCGACGGGGAGGTAAGGACAGAGGCAGGGCCCATCCTGGCTGGGGACAAGGTAGACAGGTCAGCAGAGGTGAACACAACCTGGAAGGATGGAGCCCTAGGTCTTTGCCCACAGCTTTGCAGGAGCAGAAGGGTGATGCCTAGGCCCCAGGGGCGTGGCCAGAGGCATCCTAATTGCTCTTCACCCTGGGAAATGGGTGGCCACAACTCAGAGACACTCTCTCCAGAGAGTATCTTCCCCCAGCTTCCACCCATGGCATTTCAGAAGTTGATCAGAAACATATGGTAGGCCAGAAAAGGTCTGGTGTTAAGAACATTGACTTAATTTTAGAATCACTCTTCTGAAAACGGACACTTGACTTAAAGCAAACCTCTCTGTGCAAAGCTGCATGGAACACTGGGTGTTTTTACTTGGGAGGCAAGGGGATGTGATGGCCCCTTTTTTCTTCTAAACTTTTTTTTTTTTTTTTAAGATTTTTACTTATCTATTTGACAGAGAGAAACACTGAGAGAGGGAACACAAGCAGGGGGAGTGGGAGAGGGAGAAGCAAGCTTCCCGCAGAGCGGGGAGCCCAATGTGAGGCTTGATCCCAGGATCCTGGGATCATGACCTGAGCCAAAGGTAGACGCTTAACGGTTGAGCCACCCAGGTGCCCCTTCTTCTAGCTTTTTATCCTGAAAATGTCAGACCTTCCGGAAAGCTGCAGGAGTCCTACAGTGAATGACGTGTGATTTGCCCGCAGTCACCCTTTGCTAACATTGTGCCACGCTTGCTTAATCTCCTCACAGGCAGAGGCGTGCATCCACACACATTTTGGGGAACAGGGAGCAAACCACTTCAGAATCAGCTGCAGGCATCCGATGCATTCCGTTCCCATGTAGCCTGTGGGGTGAACATGAGTTTTTGCAGAGGCCTTGAAATTAAGAGAGTCTTGAATGGCCTTTAGGTGCAGACTTCCCGTATTCCAGTCCTGGCCCAGGCAGGTTGTAGCTTTGTGATCTTGGGCAAGTGATTTCATTCTCTGTGCCCACGCTTGGGACATGGGCCCAAGAGTGACACGGGCTTCAGGTGATCATGGAGGTTACATGAGAAAATACAGGTAGAACTCTCCCACGGTCAGGAACAACGTTAGGTATTAGGTTGAGCGTTATTTTGTTGAGCTGGTCAGAGCATGAAAAAGCAGAGTCACGTTCGCAAACTTGGGCGAGGGGTGCTTTGGCTTAGGAACTCCATAGCTAGTTATGCCTCAGAAAACCCCATCACCTTCTTCCTACATAGGCTGCTATGTTATAAACCATGTTCTCTTGGGTGAGTACTCAGGGTCCAGCAAAGGAGAGCTTTGCCCCTTTGCTGCCGCACCTGTCAATTCCAAGTCCTGGACACCTTCCTTTCTATTCACCCCCAGTTGGAGGGCCCGGAGGGAGCCACCATCCCAGAGATGCATAAGGTCTTGGGGGCCCGGGGCTGCAGAAGCGATTGGCTTTGGTCTTCCCTCGTGTGTGGCATGAATGTGAATGCCCTCCTTGGGCAATAGAAAAGGACCCCGCTTCAGTGTGCTCCCTTCCTGAATGCTGAGGACTGTGGATGGGGCTTCCTCCTAGAAGCCAGACATGGGTGCTGACTCTGGGGCATGGTGTCCACCTGCAGCTAGAGACCGGGAGGGGCCTGAAGAGGAAGCCTTTGGTACTGGCTTCTCGGGCCATCCTGGACTCCTCAAGAGGAAGCACGCATGGGGCTGAAGGCAGGACCGCTGTCCACCCGGGCCCTGCCTTCAGGCTGTGCGTCCTCTCTCCCTTCCCAGGAGCTGCGGGTTATCCCCTGTACTCACCGCTTTCACAGGAAGTGCGTGGACCCGTGGCTGCTGCAGCACCACACCTGCCCCCACTGTCGGCACAACATCATAGGTAATTGTCACCATCTCCCCTCTGTGGCACAGTTGCTTTCCCTACCAAGTGCTCAGCAGGAGTCTGGCATGTGCTATAGACAGTGAGCAAGCATTGCCCTCCAGACCTGGAGGTGGGGTAGGAGGGCCCAGGGTGTTGGAGCTCACCTGGCCCCAAACCCTCAGGAGAGCCTGACCTGAAGAATCGCCCCATGTTCACATTTTGGCTTTCACATGAGCCAGCTTCCTGACCTTGAGCAAAGCGGCTGGCCTCTGCAGGCCCAAGGTCCATAGTCTCTCCAGCAGGAAATGTAGTGAAGGCACTCCCGTGCCTATTACCCTGGCGCTGTTTCCGTGCCACAGGAGGTGAGCGTGAGGGGCCAGGGTCGTGGTATTGCTCCTGCCCCCCGGCGGTAGCAGCAGACCAGGCCCGGAGTGCAGGCTGTGCTCAGGATAGCTGTTGTCCCCGAGAGGGAAAGTGCCTTTTGTCTTGGTGTCTTTGTGGCTGTCTGCACACTCTGTGAGCGTCTTCCTCATTCCGAGCCAAGGGCAGGCGGGAGATGGGCCCTACCAGGTGTGACCATCCTGCAGATGGGGGCGTGGGCCGGCCTCTGCCTGTGTGGCCAGGTCTGGAGACAGCCGGCAGGGGCCCGAGTCCTGACCCCAGCCACGTGAGCGCAGGACTAAGCCTGCTGCCTTGTGCCCCGCCCTCACTGATCCCTACAGCCGGTGGCACGAAGGTCCCCAGCTCTGCTGACTTTGTGTCCCCCGCCTTTCCCCAGAGCAAAAGGGCAACCCGACTGCCGTGTGCGTGGAAACCAGCAGCCTCGCACGTGGCCGGCAGCAGAGGGTGATCCTGCCGGTGCACTACCCCGGCCGCGTGCACAGGACCAACGGCATCCCGGCCTACCCCACCCGCACGAGCATGGACTCCCACGGGAACCCCGTCACGCTGCTGACCGTGGACCGGCACGGGGAGCAGAGCCTCTACTCCCCACAGACCCCCACCTACATCCGTGGCTACCCGCCCCTCCACCTGGACCCCAGCCTGGCCCCTCACCGCTGTGGCCTGGAGCACCGGGCCTACTCCCCAGCCCACCCCTTCCGCAGGCCCAAGTTCGGCGGCCGCGGCTTCTCCAAGGCAGCTTGCTTCTCCCAGTATGAGACCATGTACCAGCACTACTACTTCCGGGGCCTCAGCTACCCGGAGCAGGAGGGCCAGGCACCGGCTGGCCTTGCACCCCGGGGCCCAGCCCGTGCCTTTGCGGCAAGCAGCGGCAGCAGCCTGCTCTTCCCCACAGTGGTGCACATGGCCCCGCCGTCGCACCTGGAGAGCGGCAGCACGTCCAGCTTCAGCTGCTACCACGGCCACCGCTCGGTGTGCAGTGGCTACCTGGCCGACGGCCCGGGCAGCGACAGCAGCAGCAGCAGCAGCAGCAGCAGCAGCAGCTCCGGCCAGTGCCACTGCTCCTCCAGCGACTCGGTGGTGGACTGCACCGAGGTCAGCAACCAGGGTGTGTACGGGAGCTGCTCCACCTTCCGCAGCTCCCTCAGCAGCGACTACGACCCCTTCATCTACCGCAGCCGGAGCCCCTGCCGCGCCAGCGAGGTGGGGGCCGTGGGCGGCTCGGCCCGGGGGCCGGTGCTGGGCCTCGAGGGCTCCCCGCCGCCCGAGGACCTCTCGGCGGCCCACAGTCAAGGTGCTGGGCGAGGAGAGCCTTGGCACGGCCCCTCCTCACCCTCTGGGGACCAGCTGTCCACCTGCAGCCTGGAGATGAACTACAGCAGCAACTCCTCCCTGGAGCCCAGGGGGCCCGCTAGCTCTACCTCAGAAGTGGGGCTCGAGGCTTCTCCTGGGGCGGCCCCAGACCTCAGGAGGACCTGGAAGGGGACCCGCGAGGGGCTGTCGTGTGCCTGCTGCTGTGAGCCCCAGCCCTCCGCCCTGGAGCCCAGTGGCGGAGTGGCCGGGGGCAGCACATTGTTCCTGGGCCCCACGCTCTGTGAGGCCTGTGGCCCCACGGGCAGGGAGGCGCAGCCGGGAAGCTCCCAGGGCCTGTATGGCCTTCACCCGGACCATTTGCCCAGGACAGATGGGGTGAAATACGAGGGCCTTCCCTGCTGCTTCTATGAAGAGAAGCAGGTGGCCCATGGCAGCAGCGGGGGCCGCGGCTGCTGCGTGGAGGACTGCTCGGTCAGTGTGCAGTACACGCTCGCCCAGGATCCCCCGCCTGGCTGCCCCCCAGGAGCCTGGGACTTGAGCCAGCGCATCCCCATCATTCCGGAGGATGTGGACTGTAACTTAGGCCTGCCCTCAGACTGCCAAGGGACCCATGGCCTCGGCCCTTGGGGTGGGACACTGGGCCCGGATGTCCTGCGACCCCACTGCAGCCTAGGAGCCACCCAGGAAGAAGAGCAGATTCTGTGCCACCAGGCCAGGGCTCCACTCTCGCCCGGCTGCCCTCCAGAGGATGCAGAGGCCCCCGGGGCCAGCTTCCCTGGTGCCCCACAGGACACTCAGGAGTCCAGTGCCACCACCCCTGAGGCTGCAGGTGAGAGCAGGAGGGGACCAGAGGTCAGAGTCGGGGTCCTCCTCTTTCCGCTGTTTGTTTTCTAAATGACTTCCCTGTGCCCCTGACCTCAGAGGCCGTCTGTACCTGATGACTTCCAAAGTAGTTCGTCCCCACCCCAACCCTCCTCTGCATTCCAGACCCATTAGGCCTTCTGTTCCCCTGGTCCTCACAAGCATCCCGCCCAGTCTTGTCCACTGCCGCCCTCTCAAACTCCTCCCTCTTCGTGCCCCCCCCCCTTCCTCCAGGCTCCTCCCCACCCAGATGCTCGGGGCCCAAACCCACACTCTCCCAGAGCACCCCCTGCCCTCCATATTCCAGTGTCCTGGGCTTCTCAGCCTGCTGTGGGGACCACATGGGCTGGTTTTTCACCACGACCCCCCGCCCTGTTCAGAAAATCAAATCCCCAGAAAAGTGAAACTTAGCAAAGGACGTGCAGAATCCAACTCCAGGATTTTCATTCCATTCAGCAGACCTCATCAAGTTGCTATAAAGTTTCCAGACATTTTGTATCAGTCATAAACAGTCCAGCACCTTGGAGTAGCACTATGACACGTTCCCCTTCCAAAGCATATCCCTAATTTCTCTCTTCTCTGTCCCCACCTGCCGTCTCCTTGGGTAGGCCGGTCTCCTCTCTCTCTGGCCAAAGCAGTGGCCTAACTGGTCTCTCACTGCTCTTGGCCTTCTGTTCTGCTTGGGAGCCCTGGGGGTCTTTTTTGAAATGTGTCTTTACACTGTTGACTTGCCACTACCTCTAAATTTTAAAAAGGTGAACTCCTTACCACATTCTGTATGATCTGTCCCTCAGACCACCACCTGCTTCACTCACCTCCTTGACCCTTGAACCTTCTGTGGCCTCTGACCTGCTTCCCCAACAAGCCAAATTCATCCCAGCTTCCAGACTTCTCAGCTGCTTCTCCAGATCTTGGCTGAAATCGTGCCCTCCACCCTCCAGGGTCACTGTCACAGGCCCTGTTCACTTCCCAGGCTGTTGCAGTCTGAGGTTACTTTGTTCTGAGGTTTGTGGGCTCTGGGAAGGGGTCTTCTCCTCTTCCCAGTGCCTGCAGTGGTGCCTGATGGCACATCTTCAGTATGTTGTAAGTTCATGCTACCTAAAGGCTTCCAGAAGTCTCTGCCCATCCAGATGAGGGAGACTGGCTGTCTGGGAGGCACCCGTGCCTTCCTGCCTTTGCCATATACACGGTCTGTCTGGTGTTCTGAGCTGTCATTCCCTAAGAGCCTGTGACACCAGGGATGGGCACCCAAGTCCCCCACCTGGACCCCTGTTTGTTGTGCCCAGGGCTTCCAGTGCCACCCAGGGCTTCCAGTGCCAGTTCTGTCCCCTTGATGATTTATTTGTATGTGTGTGTCTCTCTCTCTAGGACAGAGATCTCGCCCAGCAGACAGTGGCACAGGATCCTGAGCTCAGAAGGAACTCTTACATGGAAATGGGGACTATATGGAGACTCCAAGCTCTGACTTCCTTCAGAAAAAAATCTTTTTTTTTTTTTTTTTAGCTTTGACAAACACACAAAAGTGGTAATAAAGAGAGCCCTCCTTCTCAACCCAAAATGTGAGCCACCTGTGGCAAACTGCCCCCCACCTCCCATTAACAAACCAACAGACAAAATTCTCTGAGTCTTTTGCCTCTTTTGATAACATGGTATATTCTGTTTTGTAAAGTGTGTGCTTGGGGTCCCAAGGTGTGTGGGATTGAGTTCTCTGCTTTGTTTTTTAAGATATTATATGTAAATGTAAAAAGTTATTTAAATATATATTTTAAAGAACCCTAACCGCCAACTTTTGCTGGAAAAAAAAAAAAAAAAAGAAATCACTGCTGCATTAATTGAACCATATCATGTGTAGATACTGTTGTCTCCCTGGAGGGAGCTCAGGCCTTTGAAAAGCTCAGGGCTACACCTGCCTTAGAAAATGAACCAGAAACTTGAAGTAAAGCTAGTTGATATGGGTACAAACTCTGAGGAACAATGCAATGCTGCCTCTTTCTTTCTTGTGGCAAATCCCAACGTACAGTTTCGGGTCTTCTCAGAAGCCATGCCTCTCCAGCCCACACCTGTAGGCAGCTGACGGGAACAGCTAGGGATAGGGCGGAAGGTCTGCAGCTCTGAGGAGCTGGGACAAGCCATCACTACGCCAGCCCCAGGGTGACAGGGACAGTTCAGCCCAGTGTTCTTCGGTCTGTCCCTTCGGGTCATTGTCTTAGGTCAGAGGACAAGAGTTCACAATCCTGAACTCGGGCTTCCTGCCCCTGGCTGCAGAAATGGTTTGAAGGGGTGTGTGGGGACAGACACCCGGAAGGAATGTAGTTTTGCGACCTTAGTGTCTAGGGGGTGGAAAGTGCTCTCAGTAATCCAGAAGAGGGACAGAGGGCGCTAGAGCATGCCTGCGCCCAGGCGTCTGTGTGAGCGCAGCCAGTGTCCTTGGGCTGCCTTCCTAGGGACCTCGCAGGGTCGGCACCAAGCTCTGTTTGAATGATACATTTCCCATCCCATTTCCCTCTGGAAGCACTGCTTCGGGGTTATTCAGACCTCTGCCTCATGGCCGAAATGGCCCATCTCGCCTGCAAATGTCTACTATCCTTTCTACCTAATGCACTATTATGTATTGATTCTCTAGGAGACAGAGAAAGAGACTATCAGATAGTTTAGCCCCAAAGGGTAGGTTTTTGTATATTTTTCCAGCCGTTTGCTGTGCTTGTTTTCAAGAGAGAGGGAGAGTTTTAAAACCCAAACCATTAAAAAAAAAAAAAAAAGTGTTTCCATTGTAAAAGGGAGAATCTATTTAAAGCTATTTCAGATCAGGGACTATCATCTTTTTTGTCCAATGTACTTCTTGTTCTTCCAAGTCTTTTTTAGAAGAAACCAATCGCATTAGCCCCTGTGTTCACTAACTCCTCCGGCCACTTTCATTCATTTTTATTCAGTTATCATCATCTGATATGCTCATTTGCAGAACAGAAACCTCGCGGCCTCGCGGCCCCCCCAACCCCACCCTCCAAGTATAGTGGGGAAGTAAGAGACCGCCCAGGGTTGCCATGGACGACAGTGATGACCCCTTCTCCAATCAGGCCAGGGTCCAGACAAGAATACTTTTGACTGAGAATCTCACTGTATCCCAATCTTTTTTGCCTTTTTTTTGTTTTCTTTTTTAATCCAGCCCGTGATGAAATTTACCTCCTTCTAGCCAGGCTTTGACAGAAATTCCAGCCTCAAACGATCGAACCAGTTGCCATTTAGGAGCTCAGTACGATGAGCTTTGTCCTCCAGCCTCTGAGGTACAGTCCCCTGGGGGCTGCTTCCCGCCCCCCACCCTCGGGTCTATGCCCAGCACACCTGTTGGCGAGGGTGTGAGAAGGGCCTAAGCTGTTGACATGTGATCCGGCCCGCCTTGATTTCTCGGGCCAGGAGTAGCAGCTGCTGAGGACAACGGCTCGACTCGCATTCCGTGGTTTTAGGGAAGGGGCGGGGGGATGGCTTCTAACAGGAACTGCAAAAAAAAAAAAAAAAAAAAAAAAAAAAGCAGCTTCTCATTGTTGAGATTTTTGGTGTTCGTGGTTTTGTGTTTTTTTGTTTTGTTTTGTTTTGTTTTGTTTTTAATGCCTTTGAGTGCATATTCTCTCCTTTGTCTGAAACCATACCCCCAAAGTGTCTTTCTTTAGCCTGGTCTGGGAAACTACTCCTCAACAGCCTTAAGCAATAAATAGAGGAGTAGGTAATGTGGGTTCCACGGGGCCTATTAAAATAAATGTGTCCAATTTTCGTTGGAAAGAGCAATAATTACAGATGGCAAAAAGAAACACATTTTTCTGTAGTTTACAGGGCAGGAGAAGCAGAAAAATGAAAATGTTAACACTTTAAATATCAGCCATTGTTTCAAGTTTGTATTGGCCCACCAGATGGGGAGGTCACCGGAGTATAGTGACCAGCTATATTCCTACCTCACTATTCGAATTGAAAGAAATGTCTTCTTTGAAGTTGCAAGACTCCAGTAATGGCCTCTCAGGGGTGTGTTGGGGTCATATAGTCTTGGAGCATCACATTTTCCATGGAGAATTATCGCCCTCCACCCCCACCCCAAGCCAGAGTGTGACTGTGAGGCCTGGTCCCATGGCCCAGCCCTGGGTATAGGACAGCCATGTAAACTAAAGAGTACTGGAACCAGTTAAAGAAATGGGGGTTTGGGAGTTCTGATCAACAAGGTACCTCTTTACGCTGGCTCTCTCTCAATCTCCCACCTCTCTTGAACCCAAGCCATTTTTATAAAGCCCGATCTGCTGTCCCACCACTCAGACCCTCCCTTATGTGCTGCTAGTTTCTACTCAAAGCTCATGCAGGACTAATGCTTTTAATAAAAAATGAGGTCTAAAAAATAATTACTAATCGGAGTATTATTTTTTAAACAGACCTGCCTTTTTCTATTCTTTATATAAACTCTATTGTGTTGGTCTAACAAGACACTATTTTGAAATGGTTTTTTTTTTTAATTGCTCCCATAGCACTTAAAAGATATTTTGTAAAGACTTTGCTGTAAAGATTTTGTAATAAAATGGTCTAAGGGCTCCTTCTCCAACATTACCATTTTTTTTTAATGTTTTAAAGGCTAGAAAACAACTTATGTATATTCTGTATATGTATAGCAGCACATTTCATTTATGGAAATATGTTCTCAGAATATTTATTTACTAATATATTTATCTTAAGCCATGTCTTATGTTGAGAGTGTGACATTGTTGGAATAATCATTGAAAATGACTAACATGAGGCCCTGTAAATACATGATAATTGCACACAGATTTTGCATATTTGCCGACCAAAAATGATTTCAAACAAGTTGTAGTCTTCTATGGTTTTGTAACAAATTGTACAAATGACTGTAAAAAAAAATACAATTTTATCAAGTATGTGTTACATGTTGTCATTGCTCTGTTTGGTAAAGGTCTATATATCCCACCTAGGAGAGAGTGCCTTTAACTTCCTCCTTGTTCATGTATGCGTCTGTAGGATCTCTTCTCTTGGTAACATAGAGTTCATGTTGTTGGGACCCAGGATGGTTTCACGAGAGAGCCTCTGATAGAGAGCGTGTGGGATAATGTCCTTGGGGTGGTGGTGGTTGTTTTGCTAAGCCCTATGTGGAAGCAGTGAGGGAAACAATAGTCCACTTTCAAAAAATAAGGAACGTGGGCTGTTGATTTCGTCATCCTGGCCTTTTCCTACCTGGGAAGGCCAAGAGACCCCCAAGCACTGAGCCCTCGACGTGACCTAGTTATGAGAGTGGAGAAGGGCCATCAGTATGAAGTGAATCTCATACCCATTTGTCTTACCTCCCAGGGCGGGAGTTACTAATTTGTAAAGCACTCTGAGATTATGTGGAAGGTGCAAAGTGGTGTTTATTTTTCAGACATCTAGCAGAGAATAGCAATATCCTAAGCCTGTGAGCTCCTGTACCTATTTCTCTCTCTTGAATTTGGGCCACTTCTTGGGCACAGGCTCCTCGTGGACCCCAAGCTGCTTCCTGCCAGGCAGCGGGCCCTGAGCCCCTGAAGGAGTGGCAGCCTGGCTGTACAGAGCCTCCCAGAGCTTTTGTTTGATGGCCTTGCCCAGCTCCAAGCTGTACCTCTTGGGGGTCCCAGAAGGATTCCACAGCATCGGCTCAACCACCGAGTGGTACAGAGCCCTGTAACCCTCTGCGGGGAGGCCATGGATGGTTAGCTTGTCCTCCGACAACTGCTCTCTCTCTCTGGTTTCGGGAAGCAATGCCTGGCCCTTCCAGGCGGCTGTCCCAGTGTCCCCGGGCCGTGCTTGGGTGACAGCCACATGTTCAGCATATCTGCTCTCAAGATCTTGGCGGGCGGTTACTTTTTTCTCCTTTGAACTTTCTTTACTCTAGCCAGGAAGAAAGCAGAGAAGTCAAAGCTAAAACTTGAGAAGGGAGCTCAGAATAATTATCTGGGATTTTGTGTCCCTGAGTCTTGGTTCCAGCCACCACCAACATTTGTCTAGCGTGTTCTGGTTTCCCGAATTCCTTCATGTACGCCACTGCATGCATTGCCCATAAACCCCATAAGGTCAACAGGAGACCATTCTAAAGGCAAGGAAACTGAAATTGGTTGTCCGAAGCTGGCACGGTGAGAAGGTTCCTAACCACAGTGTCCTTTGCTGAATGCCACGCAGGATATTAGGCATTTACTCTGTGCCAGGCTCAGTTCAAAAACTTTGTGCATTATTATATTAGCTCAATCCTCATGAAACCCTATGGGGGGGGGATGTTTTCCACATTTTGTAGGTGACAGAGACCAAAGAGGCTAAACCCACAGTTGTCCTCAATTATGGTTAGAGCTGGGATTTGAGGCGGGATGGCCTCGATCTGAGGTGCCCTCTGAGCTCTGCCGGCCCTGTGGAGTGATGGGCCTCTCTGGACATCAGGTTCCCCAGGTGGCAGTTCATGGCAAGATCTATTGCTCACCTCCAGTGTTTGG